GCCCCCCCTGCGGGGGGCCCCCCGAGGGGGTCCCCCGAGGGGCCCCCTGCATTGCCTGGGGCCCCTTGAGGATGCCCTCTTCCTCTTCTAGATCCTTACTGACGTCCACGAAGTCCAGAAAGTCACAGGGGGCCCCCTCGCGGTCTGCTGCTGCTTCTGGTTCAGGGGCCAGCTCTGGGGGGCCCCCAAGGGGGGCCCCCTCAGCTGGGGGTTCTTCTGCGCCCTCCGCCGCAGCAGGGCCCCCCGCTGGCTGCAGCAGTTCCTCTGGGGGCCCCGGCGGCTCTGCAGGAGCCCCTTGGGGGCCCCCGTGGGGGGCCCCCCGTGGGGCGCTGCTGCAGCAGCGCGAGCTGGAAGCTTCTGGCTGGGATCGTCCTCGGGAGTCGACTCCCGACCCCACGATCCCAGACCCCTCGATCCCATCGATCCCTGAGTCTTTATGTATCTGCCCCTCGATGGCTGCACCAGCCAAAGGCCCTCTTTCTGTTTCTCCCCCGAGGGCCTCTTCTTGGTGAGGGGCCCCCTGGGGGCCCCCCTGGGGGGCCCCCTGGGGGGCCCCCTGGGGGGCTCCCGGGGGGCCCCCCCCGGGGGCCCCCCCTCTCCTGCGTCTGGGGGGCCCCGGGTAGGGGGCGTCGGCGAGGCGGGGGCCCCCCACTTGGCGGTGGAGGGGGGAAACGCGGGGCCTCCGGAGAGGGTCCTGGGGCACTGGAGCTCTGCGCAAGAGCGAAGGGTTGGAGTCTCTGTTGGGAGTGGATCGCGTGTAAGACAGCAGCAGCAGCAGCGCAGCACTTTCCGCGTTCGGAGTCTCCTCCTGCTGTCCATACACCCCGGCCAGGCAGCACTGGATCTCCCGCTCGCGCTCCGCCGCCGCCTCTAGGGGGGCCCCCGGGGGGCCCCCCGGGGGGCCCCCCGCGGGGGCCCCCGGGGGGCCTTCCTCGCAGGGGGATTCGGGGGAAGCGGGGGGGCCCTCTTCGGGGGCCCCCAGAGCTGCTTCGATGTCTTTGGAGGCAGCGCGGGGGCCCTCAGAGTCCTTGGGGGGGCGCCCCTCAGGGGCCCCCTGCTGCGGGGGCCCCTCTGCCGCTGCAGCAGGTGCTGCAGCAGAACTCCGCAGAGATACCGGCAGCAGCTTTTCGGAAGGCTCTGTGTCCCGGGGCCTCCTGGGGCTGACTGCGGGGAGGGGTTGGGGACCCCTGGGGAACTGGGGCTGCTGCTCCTTCTCTGCTTTGCTGCTGCTGCTGCTGCTGCTGCTGCTGCTGCTGCTGCTGGGGCCCGCTTTGTGAAGGCCTGCGTGCGGCGGCTGCTGCTGCTGGGGCCCCCGCCGCGGC